GAAACTGAATTTCTGGTGACCGGAAATGAAGAAAGAAATTGCTGATTTTGTATCAAAATGTCTTCATTACTAACAAGTTAAAGCCGAACATCAATGACCCGCAGGCTTATTGCAGCCCTTACCTATACTGGAGTGGAAATGAGAACATATCACCATGGATTTTATTGTGGGATTGCCTCGCTCTAGTAAATGTATGGACTCAATTTGGGTTATCGTTGATAAACTGACTAAATCTGCTCACTTCTTACCTGTTAAGACAATTTATAATGCGGACAAATTGGCTATACTCTATATTGATGAAATTGTTAGACTGCATGGAGTGCCTGTGTCCATTGTTTCTGACAGGGATTCGAAGTTTACATCGAGATTTTGGCAAAGCTTACAGACTGCATTGGGTACTGAATTGAGCCTGAGTAGTGCTTATCATCCTCAGACCGATGACCAGTCAGAAAGGACTATCCAGACTCTGAAGGATTTACTGAGAATGTGTGTTCTTGATTTTCAGGGAAACTGGGAAAAACATTTGCCCTTAGCCGAGTTCGCCTACAACAATAGTTATCATTCAAGTATTGGTATGGCGCCTTTCGAGGCATTGTATGGCAGAAAATGTAGGTCTCCGATTTGCTGGGCAGAAGTTGGAGATGGGCCTTTGCTCGGGCCCAAGATTGTATATGAAACGACTGAGAAAGTGAAACTAATACAACAGAGACTGAAAACTGCACAGAGCAGACAGAAAAGTTATGCTGATATCAGAAGACGAGACAGAGAATATGAAATAGGTGATCACGTGTTTGTGAAAGTGACACTGATGAAAGGCCAGACTCGTTTTGGAGTCAAAGGCAAGTTAGCACCGAGATACATCGGACCATACGAGATTATCGAGAAAATCAATCCGGTGGCGTATCAAGTTGCACTTCCTCCTGAAATGGAGCGTATGCAAAACCATGGTGGCATGTATGCCACTTGGGAAAGGGAAGATGACATGGCTAAAAGATATCCTAAACTGTTTCCACTGAATCCTGTTTTCTTCCAAAACGAAGGTAACTCGAGTTTAGAGGACTAAACTCTTTTTAAGGAGGGGAGACTGTAACAACCTTCACCACTGTTTACCGATAAACTACCGATTACTACTAAACTGAGACTGATTATGAAAAGTAATTGAACTGACTGAAATACTGAACTGACTAACTAAAATCTGAAACTGATTGATTGACTGTATCTGTTTAAATGCATTATCTATCTGTTTGACTGTTTGATTATCTGGTTATGTTTTATGTTTAAATTGCGAATTGAAGGCCTTATCGGCGGCCGAACCGGAGATCGATTAGTGTTTTATGATCATCACAATTTATGTGATTTTATGGTGTAATTATCTGAAATTTGATTTGGTATGATTAAGTAAAGCTAATTAAAGAGTTAGGCTTATCTACAACTTTGCCATTGTGAGTGGGCCACTTCATGAACTATATTTGAGCCTTATTATACACTTAGGCAAACATTTCATCACCTCATCTCCCTTGCCTTAGCCAACCAAGAGAGAAAGAGGGAGATGAATTGAATTGTCCTTGTTGATTTGTTTAGAACTTGAAGGAATTGAAAGTTGATTTCAAAATTGTGCTTCCATTCTTGAACTACAAGACCTAAGGTAGTGTAACTACCCTCTTGTTTGTGAATTCAATTGATTCTTGCATGGTTTTAGAGCAAGTTGAAGTCTAGAGCCAAGTTATGGCTCTTAATTGTTGAATTATAACTTAATTCATGCATGCATGCCTATATTATTGAATTTTGAGTTAATTCTATGAAAAATTGTCACATGTATGCTCACATTTATGTTAAGTCCATGAATTCATCTTGTCTTTGAAGATATTAGCTCAATACAGCATGTATTGAGGCTTGTAAGTTGTTTAACTTCATGCATGTTGCATGTTCATCTTGTTCATGAAAATTGTTTGAAATTGGGTTTAATTTCCTCACCTTTGGGCCTTGATTTTACAAATTGAGCTTTGAATCCTATTAAACTATGAGTTTTGAAGTATTTTCCAAGAAATGGGCCCAAAGGAATCGAATTTGATACCTTTGTAGTTGAACTTGAGCTTAAGGTTCAAATCTGGGAATTCCAGATTTTGAACTCACGCTCGAGCGGGGTGACTGGCGCTCGAGCGTGGAAATCGTGCTCCCAGCATTTTGTTCTGTTTTGGTGTCCGCTCAAGCGGGGTAGTTGACGCTCAAGCGTGACCTTATGTCTTACGCTTGAGCGGATGTCGAGCGCCCAATCGAGCGTGAATTTCACCTATCCAGTACTTTTGACTGTTTTGCAGTACGCTCGAGCGTCTAAGTCTGAGCTCGAGCGGAAACATTTGTCTGCATGTCCGCTTGAGCGGATTAACCTACGCTCGAGCGGGACCCCTATTTTTTGAAAATTCTAAAAATGCTTTTAAAGTGTATCTTTGCATCCTCATTTCATCCTAGGCATTCTTAGGCCTAGTTTAAGGCATCGTAATGAGGATATAGATGTAGAACCACACTGAGTCAAGATAGGGATTAAGTTATTATCTTTCCCAACTGTGTAGCTTAGTGTGTGTTCAATCTGTAAACTGTGTAGGGTTGGGGACTGGGGACGCGCTCTAGCCTAACTGTAGCCCTGAACTCTGTGAGTAACAACTGTGTAAAGATATGTTCAAAAATGATTATCTTCTGAACAATTGAACTATACTGTTTCTGAATTGATACTGTTAATAGAATGAATGTATGTCCTCTATTCTGAACTGTATTGTGGCATCCTTAGCAACTACTGTTACTGACTGTTACTGTTACAGAGATCTCTGTCGGTTCCCTTGTTGGAACCACTACTGTTTACTGATTGATGGCCATCATTGATTGTTCGGTCTTTCAAGACCTACTGTTTACTATACTGTTATGCTAATGGATGTACCACATATGACTGTACTGATTGAACGACTGAAATATTGATTTAATGAACTGTTTTCATTACTGTAAGGACATTCATTATAAACCTCTTTACGGATTATGTTATTTCATGGGTTTTAGCTCACTGCTCATATATATATGTAGTTGTACAGGCACCAGACCGCGGCTAGAAGCGTCGGGGTAGGCTCTAGTTTTGTCAAGCCAACCACTATGCCTCACTGCAAGGTTCCGAGCCTGTCAAGTTATGGCTTAGGGGTGTTTTAATTTCCCCCGTCTGTCTCTGTAACTGTTTTGTAGACTGTATAGACTGTTACTGTACTTACTGTACTGTTACTGTACTGTTTAATAGGGATGAGGTCCCTGATCTGAATGTTTATAAATGTGTCCTAGAATAATGAGGGAACTCAGCCTAGATAAGGATAGCACTCTTAGGGAGTTTATCTTTATCTATTGGAGAGTCCAGGATAAGCACTGAGCAGAAGTCCATTGAAACTAGGCTTCTATGGGAACTAGGATTGAGGTAACTATAAAAGAAAGGCACCCCCGATGGGTCTAAGGTACGCGATTTATATTCTGAACAGTGAATTTAGCACTATTGATTATCTTTGAGAGATATGCTGACTTGATCGTCGGAGTGCCCCCGAATGGACGAACCACCGCCGGAATCTTCTCTTTTTGTTGCAAGTCAAACAAGTGTCATCTATTCTGCCAGTGCTCTCCAGCTGAATACTAAGTTGGCAGTATGATCGGAAAATCACTCACACAATATATTATTTGTAACTAGTATATCATGAACAATATAAAAAAAATTCATGAATATTAGTTTTAAAATAAATTATATAATGATAAAGTAATTTTTTATACAAAATTTCAGTAAAAATTCGATATAATAGTAATACTATGTGTCATTATTGACCTATGATATCACTAATTAAAGTAAAGCAACACATAAAGGATAAGCCTCACATGTCAAATATAACTAACAGTTAAATAAATTCCATATCTTCATTGAGATTAATTATATTTACATGTCAATAATGATAAACATGTATTAAAATTTTCATAAATAATAATATGACTTATCGTAATATCTTTCTTTTCAATAAAAAACAACTATTATTATACTCATAATTTTAAAAATATCATTGACATTTCATTCTAAATAATATTTTATAATTTTTTTATTTAAAATATTTTCTTTATGTTTGCAATAAAAAAAATTATTCCAAAACCCGGGGAGGGGCACGTGAACCTCTAGACTCTCTATGCCTCCACCACTGACTGTGCTTGGATCACATATTTGGATAATGATTTGAAAGGAAAAAAATAAAATAAAATAAGTGAAATGTGAATAAAATATAATTATATTTCATCATTCTTTTTTCCTTTTCCTTTCTAAATCCCAAATCCATGGGATGCCCAGGAAAATCTCAAGATTGCATGATAAAGCCACAGTAGATGCTAAAGACAAACATTCAGGGTGTGTTTGATTTGTGTTTGTAGAGTAATTTTTGAGATAAAAAGTATAAAAACTTGTTTGATTTACCTTTTTTCAGAAATGATTTTGGAAAATTATTTTAGGGAGAGTTTTAAAAAAAGTGATTGATTTGATGTGTATGAGAGAGAAAGTGATTTTGAAAAGTAGGTAACCAAACAAAATTTTGAATTTTTTTTGAAAAAATTTGTTTGGTTTGATTACTCTTAAAAATTTGTTTGTAGAGAATTTTTTCCAAAAATCTTTCTGAAAAACCAACCAAACAAGCCCTCCTCAGTCTCTCTTTCCCAGTACCAAAATCAACTCACTTAAAAAAGTGAAGGAGGCTGTGGTTTATAAAACCAGAAGAAACATTAACACACTAATAACTCAGAGATGATGAATTTGAAATTCTAAACTTAAGCTTGATCACAGCAATGTAAGATATTGGAACACTTTGCATGGTCTAGGAGAATCACTGGATTAGTCCTCAATAAGCACAAGTCACTAAAAATGGCACAAGCAGAGGTAGATCATATGTAAAAAAAATATTACAAATACCATTTTCACAGAGAGCAAAGGCAGTTCTATTTAGATGTAGGCATGTCGAATCCACCATCAATTATGAAAACTTTCAAAACAGAAATTATAATTCAGCAAAGCTACAAAACACATTTATCACATATGAGAAAGAGACTGAGAACTTACACATAAAAATAATGAGGATTAACAAAGTGCACCATATGGACAATCTCGCCAAACACAAAACATAACAATAACTAATTTCCATACAATTTTACAGACACACAACAATAGAATCTGCAAAAACTATTAAAATCTTTGAGTTCAAGATCATCAAGACCAAATAAGCGCAATGAGAACAGAAACACCAATCAACAAAAGAAGCATCTTCAAGTAATTATCAGCCTGCTGTACTTGAGTCCCCGTCTGTGGAAACCCATGAGCATGTCCTCCATGAAATGCACCAGAATATCCATATGGAAACCCCGACGTCGAACCATACACAGTAGCATCCGGAAATCCATGAACCTGAATATTAAACAATGATGGAAACAAACCCCCAAAACCAGCAGACATTGCAAAATTACCAAACCTCGCAGATGCCATTGGCACAAATCCACCCGTAGCTCCCAACCCAAAATTGGAAAAGTCATTAGGGTTCGGGGGAGGAGCTGTCTCAGGTCTTTGCCCTGTTGGGCGATTAGGAATTTCAAAACCGGGAATTGGTTTTGATCGCGGATCAGTTGGTGTCTTCCCTCTCCCATAGAGAGGGACCAACCTGTCCTCTTGTACTAAAGCCTTACAGACCGGGCATTCGTGGGAATGAGAGTGAAGGCGGAGCCACCTGTAGAGACAGGGCCAACAATAGAGGTGACCGCAAAGAGTGACAATCGGGTCTTGAGCTAGCTCAAAGCATATATTGCATTCAAAATCACCCGCCTCGTTGCCCCCATTTACCGAGCAAGATGGCCTGCTTGTTGATTCCCCAATCTCACTTTCCATTTTTTTAAACCTCTTACACTTACAAATTCAAATCCCTGTGGGTTTCAATCATAAACAACAAGAATCAACACAACCAGCGGAGATCAACCTCATAACAACAAGAGTAATGCTACGGATCATCTAAGAATAGGCCCATCTAAGGATTGAATTTTTGAACCGATTTAACATAAGATTAACCGAAAAGGTATCAGAAACAAAGTACACAAGTTCGGAAACAAAGTTCCGATCCTAAAAACCCAAAACAAACAATTCTTTATATAAGCTTTTCTACATTAACATAGTGAATTAAATAAACTCCACATACCCAATAAGCAAAACCCTTAATTTTTTAGGTCCGAAACTTCCAATGAAATCACATACACATGGTTTCTAAGATCTGAACATAGGAATAGTTTTTACAAACGACAGACAAAAAAACAAAGAAACATCGGAGATTACTAGAACCAAAAAGATACCTTAATATTCAAATCTAGAAATCGAAGGGAATAATACAATGAATTGAGAGAGAGAGAGAGAGAGAGAGAGAGGGAATTGAACGATAAAATGAATGAGAAACAAGACTGACCTTTTGGGTTGATAATGGATAAAGACGAATAGGAATGAAAATGAGATCGGTTTGAAGACAATTCGGAGAATCTTAGGAGAGTTCTTGAGAGAGAGTCCTGGTATTTGCAATAACTGGACTTCTTCTTTTACCCAGAAAATTCCAGAGAGTGTTGCTGTTGTTGGGTTCGTAAACGCTTTGGCTTCGTAATTTTTTATATTCTTCTCTTCGTCCTCGTACAGCTCAACGTTGCACAGCGGTGTCCTTTAGTTGTTTGAACGGTCTAGATTATTTAGATTCTGTTTATGACTCAAAAATGATTTTCGGTCAATTTTAACTATATAACAATGATTTTTAAGTATAAATATATGGAGTTCTTATTAATAGATTTATTGTTTAATAGATTTTGTAAAAATTAATAACTTTTTTTATCAAATATTATTAAAATTTTTTATTAATTATTAGTTTTCAGTGACAGTTTAAAAATTATTATAAAAAATGTCACTTTTTTAGCGACAGTTTAAAAAAATCGTCACAAAAAAATGTCACTAATTTTTAACTTTCAGCAACAGTTTAAAAAATTTGTTACGGAAAAACTTCAGTAATTGTAAGTTTTAACGACAATTTATAAAAAATAAGTCACTAATTGTCAATTTTTATACATATGCAAAAAAATCAATACAAAAAAATTATTTTGAACGACGATTTTATTAGGGTTAATTTGTAAATTTAAATTCAATTATTAAGACCTATTAGTAGTTTACTATTGATAGTTTATCTTAAATATGATTCATAATTAAGAATTTTTTTTATGATGTATATAATTAATATCATAAAAATTTATGATTTTTATTTATTTATTTATAATAGAGGATATTTTATAACAGTTGGACATTTTATAAGAAAGTTTTCAATCTTATTAGTAGCTTATATCGTTTTAATGTAAATGATCAGTACAAATGCATTGTAATTTAATAATTTAATTTTTTTTTGTTTACTTTTTTTAAAAATGAAAGGGGAGAGCAAATGATGTTCGGAATTTTGAAATTTTGATTTTAAGGGTTCATTCGGAAATTGATTATCTTGGTACTTTTAAATTTTTTATTTAAAAAACATATAAAAAAATAGAGGAAGTAATAATTTACGATAATTATTTTACTAAAATTTTTAGTTGCGAAACAAGGACTCTAAAAAAAAATTATTTAAAGCCAATTGCCAAAAAGGTCAATAGGATTGAGATAAATAAATTAATAAAATCATTTTCAAACTTATGGATGGAATTTTTCTAATAATAATATTATAATTATCATATTTATATATTATAAAATATTTATCGTCTTATCTGTTGTTACTTTATTAATAATAAATAAAGAAAATTGGTGAAATTTTCATTTTAAAGAGAGTATAAGGTATTAGATTCAAGGTAAAAAGTTTATTTGGTGATAAGGATACGTCGAAAAATTGACCGATGTTAAAAAATTGTTGAAAAATTAGTTGAAAAAGTCGCTGACAGTGGGAGTCGACAGCATCAAGTGGTGGTGGTGAGATAAATAAATGTGTGATATTCAATCGATAAAATATCAAATGAGTGACATGTGTCATATTTCAACAGATAGGTTGTTTAATAAATTTCAACAAATAAAAAAAATAAGTTTGATAAATTTTAACAGATAAACAAATTATGTGATTTTAAGAGATGATGTGATTTCAAGAAATAGATAAATAATTGTCCTTTTAAACAAATTATATCATTTTGGCTTAAAAATATTAGAGCTAGGTCTAATATCGCAAAAGATTTAAAAATGCACTTATACTTGAGTGCCCTAACAAATATGAAATTTGAGACTTTTTAAATCAATATAGAAATATGGTATACTATTCTACCAAATTTATTGATAACTACGGATTACACCTTAAAAAATAAATTTTCATTTTATTTTTTCAGCAGCAACTTTCTCATTATCTTGTGGCGAAAGTCAACGTTGGCCCTATTAACAAAAATAAAATAAAAAAGTCAATGTTGACAGGCCTAAACAAGAACAAGATAAGGTTTAGTTTGGGCTCATCTGCTGATTCAGCTCAGGATAACCCAATGACTTTGACGCTGCATTTCCTTCTCGATCACTAGGCAGTAGGTGGTTGGTATGTATTAAAAAATATATATATATATATATATATTTCTTTCTTTGATTCATATTAATTAATATTTATTAGCATCTTTTTTTTTATTTTTTCATTTATTTTTTCTTATTTTTTTACATTTTTTTATATAAAAAATCAAAAAGTATATTTATTTAGAACATTCTAAATCACCCCTAGACTAAATTTTAATAGTTGGATTTAATTTTTATTAAATTTTATTAAAATTATTTTTAAAAATAATTTTTTATGATGTTTTTTATATATTTCAAAAAATTAACAATTAGTGATTTTTTTATCACAATTTTTATAAATTGTCACTAAAATTATAGTTAGTGATTTTTTTTGTGATGAATTTTTTAAATTGTCGCTAAAAATTAAAAATTATTAACATCTTTTTTGTGACGAATTTTTTTAAATTACAGCTAAAATTTATAATTAGCGATATTTTTTATGACAAAAATTTTAAATTGTCTCTGAAAATTAACAATTAGTGACATTTTTAAATATTATTTGATGAAAAATGTCATTCATTATTATAAGACCTATTAGATAATAAATCCACCTATCACTACAAGAAAACTGGGTATATGAGACGGAATTATTTGCGACGGCACACTTGCCGTCTCAAAAAGTCACTTTTTGCGACGGCAGAAAATGCCGTCTCAAAAAAGCAGAGTATTTGCGACGGCACCATTTACCGTCTCAAAAAAGCAGAGCCATTTGCGACGGCATCATTTGTCGTCTCAAAAAAGCAGAGCATTTGCGACGGCACTAAATACCGTCGCAAATACTCTCATTTTTTGAGATGGCAAATAGTGCCGTCGCAAATGCTTTGCTTTTTTGAGACGGCAAATGGTGCCGTCGCAAATACTCTGCTTTTTTGAGACGGCATTTTCTGCCGTCGCAAAAAGTGACTTTTTGAGACGGCAAGTGTGCCGTCGCAAATAATTCCGTCTCATATACCCAGTTTTCTTGTAGTGAATTCCATGCTCCTACCTCCATGATCCATCCACAAACAAATTTGAAATCCTCAAAAAGCGAACGGAAAATTATCCACGCGTTCTATTTAAAATATGTGTACATTATTTAATTTAATAATTTTTTGAATAGATCAAAAAGTCTTACTTTTCCTCTTTCTCTTTCTTTCTCTCTCTGCTTTTTGCCTCACTCTTTACGTTTTCGTCTCTCTTTTTTTTTGCATTTTTCTCTCATTTTCTTTGTTATGAATAACAACCGGTGATCACATCATTCTTATTCTCTTTCTCTTTCTAATATATAGTTACGAGTGACCGACAACCACCATTGATTGGGGTTCACCGGTAACCATCAACCATCGAAATCAACTCGTGACTTCACCCTCACCGATGACGAAGAAGATATATTTTCGACGAAGAAGATGAGTAGATCTATTTAGATCTGATGTAGATCTACATCAGATCTGAGTAGATCTACATCAAATCTGAGTAGGCTAGATCTAAACAAAAAATAATTATCGGAGTACAATTCTCTCTCTATATCCGTCTTTCTCCTTCGATCTCTGATTTTTTTTATATTTTCTCTGCTATACACTTCTTTTTTTTATTTTCTAATGGAGAAAATTTTCAAACTTTGAACAAGTAGTTTTCGAGTTTTAGTTACAGGCGGTGAAAGTGGTAAAATTTTACAGTTTCAAATTTTTTTGGTGCTGAAACGAATCATGGTATAAAACTGTAAAATTTTACAGTTTCATAACATTCTTTAGAACTGTAAAATTTTACAATTTCATAACATGTTTTTCAGTTTGATTAATAAGGATAAATTGCCATTTAACTACCACCACTCTTCTCTTTCTCTCTTTCACTCATCACTCTTCTTTCTCTGTCTGTTTGTCTATCTGTCTGTTTGTCTGTTTGCCAGTGTGTCTTTCGTTCATCTTTTTTCTTTCTATCTCTCTCATTTGTCTTCTCTCTATGTCTCTCTCGCTTATCTCTCTTCTCTCTATCTCTCTCATCTCTTTTCTCTCTCTCGCTCATCTCTTTTTTCTCTCTCTGTTTCTCTCGCTCATCTCTCTTCTCTCTATCTCTCTATTTTTCTACTCTCTCTCTCGTTCATCTCTTTTCGCTTTCTTTCTATATGTCTCTCTTATCTCTTGTTTTTCTCTATTTTTCTATATGTCTCTCTCTATCTCTTTCTCTCATTGTCTCTCTATCTCTCTATATCTCTTTCTCTCTTTATCTCTCTCTCACTTATCACTTTTCTCTCTTTCTTTCTCTCTCTGTGTCTGTTTGTTTGTCTCTCACTCTTTTGTTTCTCTCTCTTTCTCTCTATGTGTCTGTCTGTCTGTTTGTCTCTCTCCCCCATTGTGTTCACATTACTCACTCTCTCCCTCATCGCTTCTCTATTTACTAAGCTCTCCACTACAAGAAAATGCACTTTTAGCGACAAATTGTGTTCACATTACTCGCTCTCTCTCTCATCGCTTCTCTATTTACTGAGCTCTCCACTACAAGAAAATGCACTTTTAGCGACAAATTGTGTTCACATTACTCACTCTCTCTCTCATCGCTTCTCTATTTACTGAGCTCTCCACTACAAGAAAATGCACTTTTAGCGACAAATTGTGTTCACATTACTCACTCTCTCTCTCATCGCTTCTCTATTTACTGAGCTCTCCACTACAAGAAAATGCACTTTTAGCGACAAATTGTGTTCACATTACTCGCACCCCTGCCACTCCATTTACACTACCACTACCACTACCATAACTTCACTACTAATTTCTTTCGCTATCACCACCACCACCACCATCTCTCTTTCACCACTCTCTCTGTCTTTTTTTTTTCTATGTCTCTCTCGTTAATCTCTTTTCACTTTCTTTCTCTATCTCTTAGTTTATCTCTTGCTCATCTATTGTTTCTCTCTCTTTTTCTGTCTATCTCTCTCTCTCTCTCTCTCTATCTCTCTCTCTCCGTCTCTCTTTCTCTCTCACTCATCACTCTTCTCTCTCTCTGTCTTCTTGTGTGTCTGTCTGTTTGTCTCTCTCTCCCACTGTGTTTGCCTTGCTCACTCTCCTCATCATCTCTTCTTTATTTATTGAGCTCCCTTTCGATTTATCGATCCACTACAAGAAAATGCATTTTTAGCGACCACTTTGTCTCTTTCTTGCTCATCATTCTGTCTCTTTCTCTGTCTCTCTATCTCTTTTCTCTATTCGTCTCTCACTCATCTCTCTCTCTCACCACCCATCTTCTCTACCACATTTACCACTACTGCAAATGCCATTCAACTACCACCATTATTCTCTTTCTCTCTTTCTCTTTTTCACTCATTACTCTTTTTTCTCTGTCTGTTTGTCTATCTGTCTGTGTGTCTTTCGTTTATCTTTTTTCTCTTTATCTCTCTCATTTGTCTTCTCTCTCTGTCTTTCTCGCTCATCTCTCTTCTCTCTATCTCTCTCATCTCTTTTCTTTCTCTGTCTCTCTCGCTCATCTCTTTTTTTTCTCTCTCTTTGTCTCTCTCTCTCGCTCATCTCTCTATTTTTCTATTCTCTCTCTCGTTCATCTTTTTTCGCTCTCTTTCTCTCTCTTTTTGTATCGCTCATCTCTTGCTTCTATCTTTTTTTTTGTCTCTCTCTCTCTATCTCTTTCTCTCTTTGTTTGTTTGTTTCTCTCTCTCTCTCTCTCCGTCTCTCTCTCACTCACTCATCACTGTTAATAGAAAATATTTTTCATTAAAATATTATCCTTACTTCTACCAAATAAAAAAAAATAATAATAATTTTTCATTCATTAAATATTCATTTATGATGAAAATAATTTTTTATTTATTTATTATTTAAATAAAAATTATAAATTATTATTATTATTATTATTTTTTACCCAATCCCGCCGCTCGGTTCCCCCAATTTTTTCCCATTCCCGCGCCCCTCAAAATCCCCAATTTCTTAGCACCAAATTCCCTAATTTCTACCAAAATGAAAAAACCCTAATAGTCTCCTCACTCCCCCATTCTCATCTCAAGTTCAACTCATCACTGTCTCTCTCTCTCTCACTCTCTCGTTTCGTTGTTCTTCATATCTGCACCGATCACTCTCTGACTCTCTCGTTGTTCATCTCATCGCACCGATCATCGCACCGCCGATCTACTCACAGGTAAACTCTCTCTCTCAATCTCTGTCTCTCTCTCTCTCTCGCCCCGATTGTTGTTTTTTGTTTTGTTTTATATATATATATATATATATGTATATATCAGATATCTCTCTGATCTGATCTGTCTCCCTCACTCTCTCATCTCATCAGTCTCACTTTCTGGTTTTGCATCTCTGTACCGATCGACTCACAGGTAAGCCTCTCTCTCTCTCTCTCTCCCTGATCTCTCATCTCTGCACCGATCGAACAGATCTTTTTGTTTGTTTGTTTTGGACCAACAGATCTGTTCTGTTTGTTTTGGAATCTGTGGGTTTGTTTTGGACCAACTTCTCTTTTACTACAATTTTAGGCTGATTCAGTATCATCAACACGACAATCGACTGCTCAACCTCCACAGAATGAGGTATCTTCTTCACAACTTTCTCTACTACTTTTTTTTTTTGGAGGGGGTCTCATTTCAGTGCTGGCTGTTACATTCATGGTTGTTAGAATCATCCGATTTGATTCATATAATTTGATACGAGTTTCAACAAAATACGGTTTGAATTGTTCTCTTGAATCAAAAAAAGATTGAATCGTGGGATTCAATTCTATTTCTATTTCTATTTTTTTGTTCTCTTGAATCAAAACTGTAAATTGTAATTATATTTAGTAATTATAGTTTCAAGATTTAAGGTTCTAATAAATTGTAAGAAAAGGGTAGTAGGTATGTAGATCAAATATGACTGAAATTGGCTTGACTTTGAAACTGTAAATTGTAATTATATTTAGTAATTATAGTTTCAAGATTTAAGGTTCTAATAAATTGTAAGAAAAGGGTAGTAGGTATGTAGATCAAATATGACTGAAGGGACACCCCTCTCCCTTTATGGTCTTGTTTCCTTGAGTTGTGGCCCAAAAGGGTGACATGCATGCTTGCTTGGTTTTTGCTTCATTTCAGAACTTTTTGGGTGTTTTTAGGTCATGTGGGATCTCTGTTTTTGGCTGGATTTGTGCCTCCTTGTATGCTTGTAATACTTGCTTTGTATTGCTCCATTTTGCTTAGAAGTGCATCTCATGATTAGGCCATGATTCTTGCGTGTGTTGGTTTAGTTCCATGAAGCTTTTAGTGTTGTTTTTCCATGCTTAAAACTCTCCTTGACAACCACATTTCATTATACTTTTAGTGTGGAACATAAGCATTCTATATGAAATTTGCATTCTTATCTCAGGAGAACTAGCATATAATTTTTCGATGATACTATTATTGCTTCAATTTTCTGGTTAGAGTTTCCATTTCATATTTTTCATCTCTTTGGAGATATGTTTACTCAAAAAATCGTAATAGCATATTTAATATTCATAATGAATATCAAATAAGACAATCAACCAACATAGCTAAATTATAATGATTGTTTTCGATGTATGGGTTGATTATTCGTAATGACAGTGAATAGATACTGGCCATATAGATATAGCATCTATACGAAACACCCTTTTAGTTGGGTCTTTTTTTTATTTAATTTATCTACATGACAGGTTATTCTATTTGATATCATGTTAGGTAGTCAGAAAACATTTGTTAAGAACTTAATTAAGGGTTTATGTTTTTAGATAGTTTTGTTTTAAATTGTTTCGGGACGCTCTAGTCTTGCAATGAGGCATACTTAAAAGTTTCAAAGAGTTTGTGAAAAATGCTACAGTAGTTTGCTATTTTTCTTAAGTTGTTTATAAACATGTAGCTCTCATTTAAGGCCCTGTTGTCCCTCCTCCATGTTACTTTCCATAGTCTTATATTTCCTATTTTGTGTTAATTTCTAAGCATTGTTTGACAAGTTTGCATAAATGACCAAAATGTTATTTTTTATGTAGTCCATATGAAGCTAGTTTTAAGGATGATATCTTTCTTATGAAACATCTTGTAGCTCTTCAATTCATTGGACTCTAATTCATAGTTGTAAGTTTAAAATCCTTGAGGTAGAAGAAGCTCAGGTTTTAAGGGCCCTTGCCTTCTTTCCCAAAATCTCAGTTTTCATTTTCACACCCTTCTTTGCCTTTCACTGATGAAACCACCTTTTTTTTTATATTATTTTTTTTACTTTTCACTTGCAATTAATACAGGGAAATATTCTTTATCGATTTCCATCACTACAACGTACAGCTTCTCCTCAGAGGAGTGGAAGGAAGGAATATCTTTTCAGGTATCAAACTCTGAATTTATTGTTCTACATTTCAATTTTTCACATATTACCATATGTATATTTATATGTTCTTCATGTTGATCATGTTGAATTTTTTTGTAAGCTTGTCTTAAAACCTTACAGACTAGTAGATTTTCAAATCATATTTGAATTTATGGGGTTGGTGAAATCAGATCTTCGAGCATTTAACCATTTTACTGTTGCAGTATTGTTGTCCATTGCGAGAGTCCGGAAGTTTAGTGAGTGTTCAATCGGAATTTTGAAGACAACAATAACTACATCATACCGTGATTACAGTTTTTCCAAGTAAGGGTTGAAGGGTATTAAGTTCTATCTCATGTTTAAAGTTAATATAGTACAGTGGTAGTAATGTTGTATCCCAAATTCAAATGGGTTTTTGTGGTGCTAATATGTTCCATGGAAATTAAAGCTATCCAATTTGTTGAAATATGATTTTAGTGGAATTTAATTTGAAATTCCAGACTTTGTTGAGTTGAGCTGAATCAGGTTTGTGGGATTTTTAATTGAGTTCATCACGGCATGGATGGTAATCAAATGTAGTTATCTTGTATTCCAGGAAGCATGTTTAATTGGGTTAGTTTTGTAGGATTTAATTTCATGTACTAGTGGCCAATTAGTTTGAATTGTTGTGATATCATAGCCATATTAATGTAGTGGCTTTTATTTCAGACATTTGATGTTTGTCACCTGTTGCGGGATTGGTGTTTAGGTGTATGATTTTGTGACTTGGAGAACTGTCGGTGTGTCTTGATAATTTAGACTAATGATGGTTTCAAAGGATGCACATTTTAATTTTAAATTTTTTGTTTTAGTCTAGTTTTAATATAATCCTTATTTTTCAGGGTTTGTAATTGGCTACCGAATGACTTGAAGGAAGAATATGTGCATAGTGTGAAAGTAGTGGAGAAGGCGGTGTTGAGAGCTGTAATTTTCCCTTGTTTTTCCATTCTGTTCATTTGAAATCATGTGTGCCATGGCAGACATGAAGATGTGAATAAGATATATGTTCTTATTGCTAAACTTTAGTGAGATGATGCTAGTGATGCCCTTTCTTCTGTTAGCTTTATATTACTGCTTAGTTAGTTTTTTTGTACAATATATGACAGCAAAAAGAAAAAAATGGAAGATCATTTTCATATTTTTAATTATGGATGAATTTTTATTTATATACTGGACTTTTTATATTATTATGTAATTATCGATTTTTTTTGAAGTTATTTTTCATTTAATACAGGTCATTTTCATAATTTTAATAATTTTATTACTTTTTTTTTTTTTGAGACGGCAGCACACACCGTCTCAAAAAAAAAATTGAATCAGGATTTTTTGCGATGGCACCTTTATTGTTGCAAAAGATAGGGAGTTGGTTGAAATGTAACGCCTTTAGCGACGGTTTTATTGCCGTCGCCAATAGTCCTTTAACGACAGTTCAGGGGCTGTCTCAAATAAACCTTTAGCGACGGTATTTTTTGTCGTCGCAAAAGACATTTTTAGCGACGGCAACACAGTGCCGTCTCAAAAAAACTCATATTTTTACATGTTATTTGCGATAGAATTTTTCCGTCGCAAAAAGGGCATTTTGTCGTCGCAAAAAAAAGGCGACGGCATTATACCGTCGCTAAAACCCTTTTGCAACCCCCTTTGTTGCGACCCCCCACTTGCCGTCGCAAAAAGTCACTGACCGTCGCAAAAAACCTTTTGAGACGGCGTTTGGAGTATTTGCGACGGCGTTTTGCCGTCGCAAAAAACCAATTTTTTTGTAGTGTATTAAAACCTACACGTAAGTCTTTTTTTCTTTCAAAAAAAAAAAAAAAGGCAAACAATAAAATGAAATGGGCTTGTGATGCACTTGTATTTGATATTGTTGTGATTACAATATATATATATATATATATAAAAGACAATAATCTCATCCCAATCTCATCCTGTTTGGTTATGCGAATAATTAAAAAAAAAAAATTTAAATAAAACTGTAAATGAGTTAATGCAAGATCTATGCTAGCATTGAACATGATGATCTCTCAATTATTGAGTCATTAAACATATATATTTTTTTTCAATTTTCAAAACAAATGACCAAACTTGAATTTTTTAAGAAAACATATTTTATAATTTTTTAGTTGTTTTATTTGTACAACCAAATGCATGAATCATTAAGGAAAATGGCTGGCAGCTCGAAAGTGAAGGCTCGAAATGGCCCAAAAGTGTGGGCTCACGCGCCCATAATACCTCTCTCTCTATCTCTATGTTTCTCTGCATTCTCTGTCTTCTCATCCCTCCTCGTTGTCGATCTTCAAGAGCTTCACAAACTGAAAGAAGACTTGTTAGCCTCCTTCTCTGATCTCTCCCTCTCTCTCTCTCTCTCTCTTCGATTTTCAAAGGTTCCCTGTTTTGGTCAAGTTCTAGTGGCTTCAACTCAAACATTAATCAAACCTCACAAACAAACAGTGATGTGAAAGTTGTGTTTTTGCACAAAAATGTTTACCCAGTATTGCCCCTGAATGCCTTACTTTGCTCCTTCTTTCATCATCCACTGTAAGTTTTTTTCAATTCTCAAAAAAATAAAATAAATAAATAAATAAAAACTTTGAAAGTGTTTATGTTTCAATTTCAATTCTGTAAATCAAAGGGCATTTTCTCTTTTATTTAAAACAGCATATCTCTTCCCCTTTAACCTATCATTATATATTTGGGTTTAGCTATATAAGTGATACCATGAATCTCTTGCTAGCTTAATCTCAAGTTTTAATTTGATTTTGATAAAAAAATTAAAATTAAAATTAATTTTGTGGGTATGTTGGATACAAATACATCTTTTGCATATGATTATAGTTTAACAAGTCAAAGCTAGATATATGTAATCTCAGTTGAGTAAATGATTTTCTTTATACATCTGCTAGTGAATTGGGGTCCGATTCATTGACACCACAGAAGAGAAGACCAAACCCACTCCAACGACCCTTACAATTGCGACCCTCACAAACGATGATGGCGTGAGAGAGAAGACCATTCATCGAAAAACGGAGAGAGAGAATACCACACCCACCGGCTGATGACCCCTTCTCTCTTCTTCTTCTTCTACCCCTTCTCCTTCTCCTTCTCCCATATGGCCAGATCGCGGCCTCCCATTCGCCCGGCAAACCCATCTCCGGCGTCCTCTCTTCCTCCTCCTCCTCTTCCTCCTCCTCTATTCCTCTTTCTCCTCTCTTTTGCCATCACCTTGCCTCTCTGTTTGTTAGGGTTTTCTCTCTCAAAAAAAGAGGGGAAGGAAAAAGCAAAAAAAAAAAAAACGACGTCATTTGGCATATTTGAGCCATTCGGGCTAATGAATGTTCGAGCTACCCAGCAGGACTCAATCATTAATGTCCTAAAATGCTTGGGAAATGTTTTGTAGCTCGACACATTTGGCTCGAAATGGCTCGAAAGAGTGGACTCACGCGTGGTCTCTATCTCTTTGATCTCAGACCCCCTCTACTTCTCTATCTCTCTACTTTTCGATCTGTCTACACCCAAAGTATGAGCTCCTTCTCTTTCCTCTCCACCTGAAACCCTATCGCCGTTACCCTCCCTCATCTGACTGCCCATCCAACGCAAACATCCGACTCCATACTCTGCTCATTCTCCTTCGATTTGGTGGTCAGCGAGATACTCCTCTCATTCTCCTCTCGTTCGACTACGCTCATCCGACTCCTCTCACTGCCAGAAACTTGTCATACGTACCAATTGAAAACGAATCGCAGGTACATCCCGACATCGCTAAACTAGGGTTTCAAGATTCAAGAAATTGGGATTTCGTGTTTGGTTTCTCAATTGGGGTTTCGTGATTGGTTTCTTAATTGGTTTGATTTCTAGTCTTTGGGTTGTAGAGTTAGTTCTTGTGGGATGTTCAAATTAATTGTGAAAGATTTCTTGTAGGGATGTTCATTTCCAGGATTTTTTTTTTATTTTTTTTATGTTGAAATTTTCCAAAATTTTCCCCAATGTTTTTTGCTGCTACATATTGGTTTATTAGTGAAGTTTTTCCCCAAGAATGTGTGCTACTAACATTTTGTTTTGCCATTGAATTTGTTGCCTCTAATGTTCTGCTGCTACATGTTGGTTTGCTTCTGAATGTTTGGTGAAGAATTTATGGTGGTAAATATTGTTTGCTGCTGAAATTTTGTTTGGGAATCCTTTGACTGTATGAAATTTTGTTTGGCAATCCATGTCAATTTAACAGCTTTACATTTCTTCAACTCATTAAAGCCATGTCAATTTTGTATGAGATTTTGTTTGGCAATCCATGTCAATCCATGTCAATTTTGTTTGGCAATCCATGTCAATCCTTTGACTGTAAGAACTGTTGGAAATTCCTCAATTTTGAAACAAATAAATTATTGGAAATTCTATGATATACACCCTCTTTTAGGGTGTGTACAATTACAACGTTGGTAGTTTTTGGCTTTCACCTATTATATTTTGTTATGACTTAATTATACACATTGTAGTGAAAGTACTCATTGTGATGTTGTTATGATATTATTTTAATTATAATCTAAAAGATTTTTTATTATACGTTATGTAGTACTTAGTTATGACACATTTTTTTTAGTTATGACTAAAAAAAGATTCAATTATGACATTTATAATAATCAATCTCACAAATTTCATAACTTATCTATGATACCCACCATTTTCGCATCCACAAATTATAAGCAAACTAAAAGAACAAACAAAAGAAAGTATGTACTTTATATTTGATCACACGATCACAAAATCCTTATTCAGTGCATGTAACATATAGTCCTTGGTACGGTGCATGTTGTGCATGCATCTAGATTTATGAAACATATGTTCCATCATCAATCAAATTTTGGGTCATATATATATACATACATAAATAGAGGAAAATAGAGAAAGAATAAATTATATTACAAAACCATAAAACTTGAACTCAACTATTATATTAGTTCATTTATTAGTTTCTTTATTTTTACATAAAAATATGATTAATACTATACCAACTAATAAAGTTTCATACTTGTTTTTTTACTAATTGATGTGACATTTAACATATTATTAAAATAAGTTATATTTTAAATTTTTTTTCTTGTCAACATTCCCCTTTCTTGTTGTGGCAGAGTTACATGCTGTGGATTCTTGTCAAGATCCCCCTGGCACCTAATCAACTTAGCCCTCAAAACATCCAATCTTCTAGACAGATCACTAAACACCTTGGTATTGAGGATCTTAAGTTCTACCTTCAACTTCTTAAGTTTGTGGCACACTTGAAACATAGGAGTTCCTTGAGTGCCTTGGTTCCACACCACCTCCACCAAAGGAATAAATGTATAACGCGTTGCCCAACAGTCTAAAAATTTGAAAGGCTTCTTTGATCTTCCCTCTTCTAACTTCATATGCAAGATAGCCGAAGAGTGTGATCTGACACCTCTTGTGCAGCAAATTTAGCAGCCACATAACAGAATTTAGTGAGCCACTCCTCATTGACAAGCAACCTATCTATTTTTGTGGAGATATACTCACCCCTCTCTTGCTTATTTGACCAAGTGAACTAATGGCCAAAGTACCCAACATCTTCCAAATCTGATTTAAGCAAATATTCATTAAACTCTTCTATTTTAGGCGACCAAGAATGACAAGGCTTTCGGAGATGGACAATAACATTCAGGAGCAGGGTAGAAGGCTTCAAAGGATGAAAAAGAATTTCAAGGCGATGATTTATGTGATTGTATTATGTATCATTTTGTACTTTGTAATGTAAATGATTTAAAAATTTAGTTTTTGGGGAATTTGATGAATGTAATTATGGATGTAGTAGACATGATGTAATTATGGATGTAGTAGACATGATGGATGAAAAATATATGTTACCTCTTCAATTTTGTTATGAATTGAATGTCGTGTTGTGATGGATTGTTATTGATTGTGATAGACTAATAGTAGTAGATAGTTATTGATGATGGATTGTTTGTTGGATTGGTGTTGGACTAATGGATTGTGTTGTGACTATTAGAAAGCACAAACAGCAGGTGCACAAACAGCAGGTGCTGGACTAATGGATTTTTGGTATATCATGATTGTTTCAATATGTCAGTACACTTGGTGTCCCTCAATTTTTTGGGTTTTCCCTGACTTCAAGCACCTATACTTGGTGTCCCTCAATTTTTTTGTGAGTGAAATCCCACAAACTCAATTCTTAGCAGTACCAAATTCATGAATATAATACAAGCAAACTTTAAAAAAAAAATGTAGCTTAAAGATTGTCTTTCATGTTGGTTCATGTGGTTTTGACACGGTGAAAAATGCAGATTCTGATACATCCAGTGACTCATGTACATTCAAAAACCAGGTCAACCCAATTATGAAAATTGGGCATCTTCACCTGCTGATAAAAATATAAAAATTGTTTACGGTATTAGAATTGGCCACAAGAGCACTGAAGTTGCAAATAGAAACAATGCATATACCAGTCACCAAAAGCAAAAGTAGATAGTGTATCTATTCTCATAAAAACAACTAGGTCCCAAGCACACAAAAAGCTGAGTGATTAATCTGAAAGTAAGAGGGCTGGGCTCTCAAATCCATCATGAATCAAAACAGGGACACAAGAATAAATAAAAACCAAACCATCCATTCAAGTCATCCATTCAAATGGGACCATATGACATGAAATTACATATCATCCAGAACTTGTTTACAACACAGAACCTGTTTACAAAGACATTGAACCTGTTTATCAAAGGAGACAAAAATAGTAGAACATAGACATTGAATAGGTTTCTATTTGTTCAACAGGTTGAATAGTGTATTACATTGAACAGACATTGAACAGTGTATTACATTAAAAATAAAATGGGGCATGTGGATCCAATAGTGATGGTACTGTAGAACTTTGACTGCTTAGATTGTTGACCATTCCTGATGTGCTTCCAATATTGTCTGGCGTTCCCATTGTGCAAACCCGTGCCTATAAAAACAAAGTACAGATTACAAAATGATTTAAAAAAATATTGACCAATACATTCATCATTACAAATGTGTACTCATATATTGAACACGTACCGGTACAGACATGTTGTCTTCTGTGCCCACCATAGAAGGAAAATAGTAAGCTTCATCGTGCGGCACCTTATGATTATATAGTAAGACAATATTATTAATAATTTGAAGCATTAACATAAAACCCAACAAGAAGCAAAGTACAATATTTTAAGTCCATTCAACACATACCGGAACATACATACTATCTTGTGTGCCAACCATAGAAGGAAAATAGTAAGCTTGATCTTCCGGCACCTATCATGAAATAGTAACACAATTTCATTACTAATTGTAACCATTCAACTATGAATCCATAAAAAGGTTACGAAACAACCTATGCCAAGTAGTTACCTGTGCGGGAGTAGTCTTCTTGTTCTTTCTCTTCAACCGATTAACTATTTGATCAACCTTGCTAACCTTCCGCCTTGTACATGGACGCCCTCTTCGGCGAGCAACCAAAGGACTGAGTACCTTGCGAGTGTTGCTTTCTTTTGTAGTATTCAGACGTGGCGGACTTTTCGACGAAGTATGCGAAGGTGGTACAATACTAGTAGAAGGTGGTAGAGTACTAGTACATGGCACATTACTCGCAGTACCCGATTCAATAGTTTTCACTCGATCCTTGATTTCCCTCAACCCAAGTTGAATCACTTTGTGTTTAGCATCGTCATTGGTAGTAAGTTCTAGGATCTCATCTAACGTCTTGTGATATGAATCATGCAACTTTGGATTTATAGCAACCCCGAAGTTAGTATATGTGGTTGGAATGCATGTATACCCTCGTTCCAAATCTTTTCTCCATCTCGAGGCAATGTATTTATGTGGCACCTCATATATGGACCTCTCAATGAGCACACTAAGTGAATAGGCACACATAATGCCTCTAAACTCAAACAACCGACACATACATTGGAGCTCACATTCTGTTGAATTACAGTACACGATAAATTCTACTTTCTTCATACCCTCACCCAAAAGAATAGCCTCTCCCACATGATACGTACAAATTGATCCCTCCTCTTTTGCAAGATTCAGACGACGGTACACTAAACGCTTCATTTCTGCTTGAACTTCTTTAAATTTCGCATTTGTGTACGCTGCACGAAATTGCTTCTCAAAAATGATACACCGTTAGGCAATCACACAATTGGTTACGAGATTTGAAATATGCTTTTGTCTCCTTTTCCATCTTACTTCTCAAGGCATTGTCATATTGCTCAATAAATTGCTTTAAGGTAGTCTTCGAGTTCGCATATCCATCAAAAAATGCATTCATGCTCTCACTTCTACCAGTAGTTGACATGCCAGCCCAAAATATGTCTTTAACATAAGCAGGAATCCACCTATGTCGCTCACGGTATAATACCCCTAACCACTCGTTATCATTCAAATTGAATTTTGTAACCATTGTAAGCCAATTTCCCTCAAATTCATCTTTCGTCAATGAATCATAAACAGCATTTTGCAAATCAACCTTTATGCCTTCATATTGTGAATATCCTCTAAGTTTCTCCGGAATTTTCTTCATCACATGCCATGAGCACCAACGATGTCGAGCCTGTGGGAAAACTATTTCTATGGCATTTTGCATAGCTCTACACTGGTCAGTTATTATTGCTTTTGGAGGAGCATCTAACATGCAACTTAACCATTCTTTAAATAGCCACATAAATATCTCAGTGTTCTCATTAGATAACAACCCACATCCAAACAAGATTGATTGTCCACGGTGATTAACTCCTACAAACGGAGCAAATGGCATATCATACTTGTTTGTCAAATAGGTTGTGTCAAATGAGACAACATCCCCAAATGCTTTATAAGCCGCCCTACTCCTTGTAGCTGCCCAAAACAAGTTTTGCATGCGACCATCTTCATCAAGGTCAATTGCCGAATAAAAGTTCGAATTTTTTTGTTGCATTTTATGGAAATAAAGTGTAACTGATTTAGCGTCTCCTAGCCCAAGTCTCAATCTTCTAGCATTCTCAATATAATTCCTTGCATCTCGTTCATCAAATGTTAATGCCTCATATCCCCCTGCTTCAACAACTATGGAATGAAAATTCCTCGCCACCCCAATCCCTGCTGCATCGTTCACTTCTAGTCTTCTCTTGACTGGAGTACGAATCCTCTTATTCATTGCAAAATACCGTGAGTCTGTATGAACTAAATCATGAGTGTGCTCAAGCACAACTGTGGTTAACTTATATCTGCCATCGTTTTGTAGACTAGCTCTGACCCTTGCTTTGCAATCAATTTTGGATGACAAAGATGGTTCCAAGGGATTGATTTCTAATCTTTTTGTTCTTAACCTTGCCCGAGTACATTCAATTCCAAAGTACTTCACTTCCCCATCACTTGTTAGATTTTGTGATCTAAAAGCTATAGCAAATCCACAGTGTTTCGCATATTGTGCATAAAATGCGTACACTTCTTGTTTTGAGCTAAAATACATCCCCTTCTTGGGTTTTTTAACTTCGCCAATTTCGTTAATATCAAGATTGTTATCTTGTTCTTCAAATTCCTCACTCCCATTCAATGAATTATTGTTTGAATCAATATCCATTGTAGCTTCAAAGTTAAATACAATAGACAAATTAGTAAAAGAACAAACTGAATAAATATTTCAAAATTGGCAAGGGTAACATCAAAAAATGGCACATAATTTAGAAGCGATCAACAAAATAGGTCATGTGGCTAGTAGGATCAGATAACAACTGTTAAGCATATGAACACAACTATATAATAAAATAAAAGCACATACTCCAAATACTTAAAGATGCATGCAAGAGCATGATCAAAGGTCACATTATAAGGCACAAAAATTATACTGTTAAGGTATATGTGGATGATTAACTTGAATAAATAAATCTGAATCTCAGACAATGCACGTGAAAGAATAAATAAATCCAATTTTTTTTTTTTTTAAAATAATAGTAGATAGTGTGAAGGTATCACATTCTAAGGCACAAATTTTTTTTTTAATAATCTCAGACAATATGTTCTTTAGAAAGATTCAGGGTACATAAAGATTTTTTAATAATCTGGCAAATTAATCAGACAGTGTGAGTTTATTTATTTATTTATTTATTTTTTAGACAATGAATCTGAAAAAAAAATCCTCAACTAATACAGTAATGGAAGACATGGCAGTAAATCCAATCTGCTAATTTGTTTTTGGGTACCTCTTATTTTCACAATAATGTTATTTTCATTGTGAATCACATCTGTTATTGAATGAAAATTTTCGAGTAGATTGGATTTATGATAGACTAATGGATGTGATTCACAGAGTAACCAATGGAAGAGCAACCACAGAGTTTTGAGCTTTGAATCATTTTCCTAATTTTATGATAGACCAATGGAAGGGCAACCATGGCAGCCACAATCATCTTAGGTAGCTGTCATGGCATCCACAATGACAGAGCAATGTTTGAAGAGGAAATACCTTATCCACAACTCAAGCAAACTTCCTCCTCTTCTACCCCGATGAAACAGCAGCAGCGGCGGCACAAGCTAGGTCGTAGACGTTGCTCCTGTATCTCTTCTTTACTCTGTTCTTTGCTTCTCTTTTTTTTTGGTTTTGTTTTTGAAATGAAATGAAAGGGGTGTATGTACCCAGTGGCGACAGCAGCGCAACAGGTGAGTAAAACGCAATTTCGAGCCCTTTCGAGCCAAGCACTTTCGAGCTACGTAGCACTTTCGAAAATGCTTTTGTTAACCAATAGAGTAGTGCTACATGCACTAATTAGTATACTAATTAGTGTACCAGTACTAGTTATGACATTATTATTGACCTCACTCATT